AGTGCACCTTTTGTGTTTGTGGCTTGTTAGCAAGATAACTCAAGTATTTGTGAAATGTTGATTATAATTCTTGGTGTAGTGCTTACTATTGTCGGGACCAAGGTTAAGTTCGTTACTGAGCTTCGTGGGGGGTTTCGTTGTGACTACAGGGGGCATTTTGTTAATTTTTCTTGTGAGCAGGATAACTTTTGTATGTGTGGATGGAAGTTAATGAAATTTGATAGGCATGTTACTGTCGTGGTCTCCAAGATTGAGTTCAAAGATGAGAGTCGTGGAGGTCGTTATGTCCCCGTAATAGGACCTTTTGTGTTTAGAAATCCCCCACCTACATCTGCTTGGAGACAGCCGACAGCTGGATATAGCCAGGGAACCCCATAATGGGATGGGATCAAATGACGTTACATTGAGGGATTGTACTATAACCAGCAGGGGGAGGATAGGTTGGACATATGTCAGGTTATTTTCTACGGCCACACCCAGTAATTGCTATGGATGACGTCCACTGGAGACCTTAAATCTAATTACCTTAAATTTAAGGCAAGCGCGCAATAAAACACGAAGGGCCGAAAAACGAGATGCCTAGATTTTGGAATATACTAACTGTAGAAGTACAAATGTTAGGACACAAAGAACACAAGAAACAAGTCTTCTATTTGTCATAAAAGACAATTAACAAACAGCAGTAGTCACCCTGTTCTGATTCTTTCCTTTATAATTATAACATCTTCTCTTATTATATTTTGCGGCGCTGTCGTGACACTTTCAACACAGTAAGAATTTCTTGAACGTTTTTTTTCCAGTAACAGTCCAAACTCAAATAACGTAGGGGGGGGGGGCTAACACGGGTGACGACGCATCTGTATAATCTGCGGCAAACCGTTTCAGGGTGTTCTGTACCATAAAAATAGTACAGAGATTCTTTTGTTCTTTAGACCAAATTGATTATTAAAAAGAGTGAAGAATACGCATGTTAATTTCTCTAGAAGATGTACCTCTGACGAAGACATGAGATCTCCGACCTCTAGTTGTTCAGTGCTTTGCACACACCGCTGCATTCCCTATCATAGACTTATCTGCAGTACCGCTCCCGACCGCCGCGCCCGCGAAAATGGGCAAAACAGTCCAAAAGTTTCTGTTAATTGTCACGCAGTCAACGGCTACCACATCCAAATTTCAATCCTGTTTTGCCAAATAAGAAGATGTTGAGCTAAAGCGGCTGAATTTTCATCCACTTGCCAAATAGACCCAATATTCCTGTTAAATTGCTGTAAATTATGCTGGTTATTTGACGGTGCAATATACCCTTGCTCGTTGGAGGGAGCCACTAGCTTGATGGGCTGACTATGAAGATAAGGTTTTACCCTGGAGCTCCTGTCACACATTCGCGACTTCCCCCCAAATTTGTTGCCGAACACCAGCCGACCAGGTTCGGCTGACGTTCGGGAACACTAGGTCAGATTTAGGCCACGCCTACCTTTCTATACGAATCAAAACGAATTTGAGTTAAATTTGAGTCAAATTTGACCCCCGAACACTGCCGAGTGCTGACTTACTCCCGATTGTTTAGCCGGTGTTCTGCTGACTTACAGTCGAATTCCAGCCAACCATGGTCAAACCTCCCGACCATTGTTTTATAAGAAAGGCTAGAGAAGAGGTTGAGGTGTCCGGCCTGCAGCGGTTCCAAACACCGCCACATCCCAGAAAATCGTCACGGATGGGACCTCCATTCCAACTGACTTATTACCTTCGTCGAGAAGGATGCGTTAGGTACACCGTGCACCATGCATGGGGAGCGGTGCATGTATTGTTATGTTATCTGGTAGGTAGGTTGGGGTTTGGACAACAAAGGTCAAGGTCAATTATTGGTAATGTAGTTATTACTTATTGTTCTGTTTATGATCGCCATCATGGAATTTTGATATTTTGAAATTCACTGTTATTTGCGTCTAAGATACATGGGGAAATATTCAATGTATAAGTAATCACTTGTTTTAGTTGACAGGGCCACACTGATGACATGATTATATATCATGGCTTATTTCATTTGTCACTGAGAGGTTTGTTGGGGATCAGACTTTTCATTGGTCGGATCAAGAAGGTTTCAGTCCTTAGTCGGATTCAGCTTGCATCGTCGTGGTAATAAACGGAAATGAAGTCATCAATTATTAATGACGTTATTGATAGATGGTGTGAACAATACGGGTGCAGGTGAAAAGTTTGTCTATACCGCTGTCACAATGGTACACAGGACCGGCGGTCACGAAAGAGACAGTGACAAGAAAATATATAGGAAATAGCTGAGGTCTACCAGAATTGTTGGTTAGCTGGAGAGGGGGCTATTAGGTCTGTAATAAATACGAAAAAGGTTTACATGTTGACAAGGAAAAACTTGGAAAACATGCATGGTGCCATGATTTGAAACAGGATCAACAACCACTTGACTGAAGTGGAGTTACATTGTGTATATATGAATTGATTCCTTTTCACTTTTGCCTACCAAATATTGATCCATAACTACTCCAGGGAAAGTAATATCATATTCTTGTGCTCTTATGCGCTACGCAATGCTGAATAATAACTCTCTTCGCTTTTCATGCCACAGTCATTGGATATATCTTCTGACACTTATTTCAAGCTTAATTCGATTTGGACTTAACAGCGTGCGTGCTAACAAAGCACCACTCCGTCACCCGATTAGAAAAATGAACGCTTCCACCGTATGTACCCAATCAGTTTAACAGCTAAAAGTTTAACTCAAGCGAATTAGATTAAGTCAAGTAATTAAAATATAGAAAAGAAGCGTCCGTTGCCATCGACTGCTGGAGATGATTGTATTGTATGACGCTGTCCCAGAGGACTAGGTTTCCATGAAGCTTCGCCAGACAGTTACAGGGGACCAGGCCGAAAGCAGGACCAACCTTCCCCCGGACCTAAACATTCAGCACAGCCCTTGCAACAGGCAGAAGAAGAAAGCGTGATGCCTCTAGGACGGTAAATCAGTTCGACTTAAATCACCTATTGTTCAGTGCGTTGTATAGGAAGTATTAAATATTCAAGACTACCCCGTCTCCACGTTACCAGCGGGTCAATAGCAACACACGCACGTCTGTATGTATGTTCCGTCGTTAGCTGTGGTCAGTTGTCATTAGAAGGCCAAACTGCACTGACCAGTCGCTCTAAAGATAAACAAAATACCACCAGACTGTTGAACCTACATTGTATTGTTCTTCCCCCAGCGTTGACAACCCGTTGGTAGTTTGGAGGAGTTCGGTTTTTAACGTCGTACCGCGAGGCAGAGCATTGACCATGGCGGGGGCGAACGGACCATTATTTGATGCCGAGCAGGTCAGTTACTAAATTTCGTTTTTAAATTATACAAAATGCTGCATCTTTTTGTCATTTTTACCACAGCATTCCGAATTCCGAATATACTATCTGTATTTATACATTTAAATCTATATCTGTTTCTGTGTAGCTCATATAACCGCCCTTCGGCGTAACATACCAGCTTCTAATATTACATGTAACAGTAATAGTCTTATCTCTATGATTTTATGTCATAGGTTATGCAGTTTTGCATTCTCCTATCATTCAGTAACCCATAAGAACATTTCTTAGGCAGTACTAGTGTCACGTTTTGAAGTTATAAAAAGGTGGCGACAGAAAAAAAGAAGACTGAAAAGACACAAAACCACGCCAGCTATAAGGGATAATGTTGAACAAAACATTGCAGTATAACCCGTTTTTGTTGTTGTGAATCTTTGTTCTGTACATTTTGTATCGTGGTTACATAGTGTTAAAAATGACCAGTTTAACATACACGATGCTGGGGTGTAGAAAGAGAGAAGGAAGAGGATTCTATGAGAGTAGACTGGGCTTGTCTTCCGTCATCGTCGGGTCTTTGATCGAGTTCATGTGCGAGTCATTTGTTTTCATACCGGACTGGAAACAATCCTGCCCCGCTGTCTTATTGTTCAATTGTCGAAAACAGAGTTCACCACGCTTTGCCAGAAGTGGGGGGAACTTTTGGCCCGTCTGTAATACAAGAGTCTCCCAGCACATAGCTATCGGGTATGTTGCCACCAGAGGACCGCTTTGTATTCTTGTGTATAGGACGCCATGGTAACACAGACAAAGGCTTTTGATGACTGGCCATTTCGATGAAATAGCCTTTCAGAACTATGTCGTACCTTCGGTTTGATAAACGTATCAAGGAGAAGTATGAGATCCAGGGTCACATAGGCGTCCTACACAGTGAAATGTACGAAATAGGGTCGTTTTGTTTCCTTTTCAAACGCAGCCAAAAAGTATATTTGAGACACGTGTTGAACGTTTTACATTAATGTGGTCCGCTGTGGGATACAGAAACTCTGCATTAAGTGTTTCAGATCCAAAATCTTTCAACAAGAATTAAGAAAAAAGGTTTCTTGTTGAACATTTCTTACATACATAAAGACAAATTACTTGTATGATATAAGTGACAATGACAAGGTAGTAAAGTATTTTGTACCCTCATATGGGTCTTATATTTGTTTGTGCATCACAACCATGGCAACGATCTTAAGAGTTGTTGCAACTATGGAAAACATGAAAAATAATATCTAGTTGGTTTTGTGTGCTTTGTCGTCTTTTCAATTCATTTTTCTAACATCGCGATCGTAGATCATACATGTACATGGTGTATCCAAGTTTGGTCGCTCAACGGTCTAAATTCGGTGGAAATAATGGAGAATGGCGTTAACACATAATGTGAATAAATAACACATCATGTCGGTGAAAGTCATTGTTTAATTTGTACATTTGTTGTGTTGTGGCACAAGGAGCGGGTGTGAATCCAATCTTCCTGTCAAGAAATCACATCGTTGACAGGCTCCTTTATATGAGTTAACAAAGACTCGAAAAATACATGTAATAGCAAAAATTAAAATGGTTCAGACGGGGCAACGCGACACCACATAGCGACCTATTGTGTAGTAGTTTTCCCTGTTCCAGGGGAATTGTTAGGGGCATATTAGAAGCTTTATTACTTCATTTCAAAACATGCCAAGAGCGTCTGCCTCCTGTCAACTCCATCTGTGTGGCCTGCTGTGGTCTTGGCTGATGATGTATATGTATGAAAAGGACACAATGTCCAACCAAAACACACAAGGCTGTCAGAAGCAGGCGTACAGCACAATCAGAAAACAGAACATGATTGTAAACAAAAGAACATGCCTAGCCACGAAGGCTAGTGAAATAGTTGCAGACCTATGTGCCAAGGTTCGGCCGAACTTGCCAGCATGGGTTTCCAGCTAAGGCCCGTGGCTGGAGAGCGAGTTGAGAAAAAACACAAGATTACAAGTCAACCTTTTTGAATATTGACTTTTCATTGACAGAAAGCACGACTTAAGCTTGAATTCAGTAAAAGGGGCCACTCAGCATACACAGCTAGAAATAAATGTGAATTTGTTGGTGTTGAAAAATACGCGGCCATCTTTACAAAGTTGCAATTTTCTGTTGTGATACAAACAGAGACTTGTATCCCCATGATTACAACGTTAACCTGGTCACTAGTCTCTCCCAGGGCGTTGAGCTAGGCTTCCTTGTTACTAAGGTTCTATTACCACACAGGCTAAGCCCACCATAGGGATTTTTTCCAACCCAAATCAAATTTACAGCTCTAGTTACCAAGGGTCTTTCATCCTCCATGCTGCGCTGTAACAAAACTTTGTAAGGGGCGAGATGGCCTGTGTAGGTCATGGCAACAGTCTGGATTCCGGGCCAGTGTGTTGTGTCCTTGTAGATACACAGTTTCCTGACACAGCCGGTCTAGGGGAAACTAATCAAGAAACTGCTAATCATGTCACCAGTAATGAGGAGAAGACGACACCTGGGCAGCTTTGATGCCAATTGATCTAATTTCCTTCGCATCAGAAGGGGTTAATTAGCATAATCAGAGGACACTGACAGACCCTGACCCTAATTTTCAAGTGAATGTGGGATAAAGCTCATCGTTTTACTCGTGTTTTGGACAGTTTTTTTATCCGTGTGTCTACTGGCTCTAGATCCCCACCTTCCCTTATCCAAGTCCTTGCCCTATCTGGTATGATACTATCATACGTACAAAATGTCTCTACATTTGCTTTGAGATTAGGTAGTATACATGAAAAACGGGGAAGCTTAAGTCAAAAGACTTTATGATTTAGCGTCTTAACATCTGCTTGGAGATAATAAGTCTCATAATATGTTTGTTGTTACATAGCAGTAGATGGCATACTTTGTACCTTGCTCTACACTAACGTTTACAAAATTCTAAAAAGTCATTCAACTTTCTGAATTGTAGTGAATCGATCAAAACGAAAAACGTCTCTGAATGCCATTCTTTTATCTAAGTCGCTAAAGATAGGATAAAAAGAACAGCTTTACAGTTCAGTCGTTTTCAATTTTCGGGAATAACGTTTACATTAGATGTAGAAATATGAACGCTGTTTGGCGACATCTAATTTGATAAATTGTGAAGAAAAAAACCGTAGTTTTCTCACGCTGGTACGTGCAAGTATTCGTCTCACTAGAGATTGTCTAAATCAATTTCATAATTGTTTTTCTCACAAGGATTACAATGACGCAAGTATTGCGGTAGAAAACCTAGACGTGCTACATCTATATATATACATAGTTTGATTTCTTCTAAAAATGAGACTGATTTCACAACGATATATTCTGTTGGGAGTAATGAAGTAAGGCGAAGGTCTCCGTCTGCACGAAGTGTTCTATATGCAAAACAAACACGATATCCCCTGTCAGATAGAATTATATAGACTGGCAGACAACATTGTGTGTATGCAACAAAAGGCCATAATAGAGTCAATAACAAATCGTTCGACTGTAACGTCATATAAAGATTAGTTAAGATTGCAATTTTATAAGATGTGACGTGTGGAAAGGTCGTCTATTGTGCGTACTGTCAGGCCTGAGTCTGGACCTGTCACCGGGCCGTCAGGAATGATATTTGCGAACATTAATAACCCTAGTACATGTATACTAGTATACGGCGGCTTGAGAGACATGACAAAGACCTTTACACATATCCCATTGCATGCTGGGAGACGCAGGGCACTATGGGCAGCACAGGGGGTATCGTGTATGCTGTGCATGCGTATTGGTGTGCGGTCCAGTCTATGTTGTCATGGTATTGGTGTTGTTTGCTCCCTGAGCTTACCCACAGTGCACCACATCTCCCCATATGCAATGGGATCCGTGGATATGTCATGGACAGACCGAGAACTTGGATAATCATTGAAAATTACAAATATGACTGGTCTCTGTTAACTAAAAGATTATGAGCCCCTCCATCGTATGGCCTTTGTTTCTCAACTCCGAAATGACGATTTGTTCTACTTTTAATATGTTGTGTAGTTCGACCATACACCAGCGATGGAAGGCATGGGGATCCAGGCACCATATCACACAGAGTACACTGGGAAAGACGGGGATTGTGGTGATGACGGTAAGTCAGCTCAACTGGAGAAACCTGGGTGTTTTATCGTTCAATTGCGATTACGGTACTCAATGTCAGATTAAGGTGATGTTACTGAGTACCCTTACTTAAAATTTTGATCAAATAAAGCACTCTTCTCAAAACAGAAGGGATCTTGTCATGTATATACATGGTCACATAACATTACAATGTTAGTTACTGTTAAAGAATTTTAAAATACATTTCTTTTTACTTAATGATATCTAGGTTATGGGGGAGCCACAATTCCTCCCTGGGAGCCAGACAACACGAGCCACACCACCAGTTACACGGCCAGCACCAGTCAGCCACTGAACAACGGATCTGCGTTCATGCAGCGACCTCTAGCGACGCACGAAACACCTACGCTAGGGTCTAGAGGTAACATGGGTAAGAAAGGCCATCGCCCGACCTCGACCGGACTCTACATGAGAGTCAACGAACAAACGGTGCCCTTTCAACGCCTACGGCAGGCTCCGCACCCAAAACTCAACGAACTTCAGAACTCTAGTCGAATGAAACGACGCTTGACTGCAGGTAAATTGACTTTTCATTTGGTAATCAAAAAGTCACGTTTCTATATTATTATTATCATACACATAGGGAAGGTACAATATCGTGGGACGACAAGACAACAGCAAACTAATTTCTTTTCTTTCAAACGTCAAGGTCAGCATAAATTAAGATGCTTCCCACATATTTCGTCTGTAGGTCGGTGCCCATCTTTGCTGTTATGGTTCTATATAAGTCATTGGGACGTCACCACAGCAGAGGGCTACTCTTTCTCTAGCCTGGTATCCAGTCTATCGTGGTTGGGGAGGTTCTCTTCGCGGCTGCATGAGCTCTTCCCCGCCCGAGGTTCCCCGGTAGATTTTGCACGACGTGAGTTATAGGCGTAACACTCCTACCGGGCGGTCTGTTGAGCTGGACGAGAGAAAAATATCAGAGCCCCGAGCCTGTCCCAACCACAATAGACTGGATACCAGGCTACTCTCAGAGTTCTCGTAAAAGTGCTGATCAGAAATGCTAAAATATTTGATGTGACAGGACAGGGGTTCGAACCAGCGACCATCCGAATGTAAACTTTATCATGATACACTGAGAAAATGTTTGATTCTATCATTCAATTCTGTTCTGCAGGAAAGGGAATAGGGTGTGTGGACAAGGCGCCAATCTCGTCCGAATATGGCTCGATGTACACCAAGACGTACGGAGCAGCACCAAGGTCGTCACCGGGTTCTTACAAGAACAAGGTTTACTGGTATGAAGACAAGCTACAGAAGGTCACGTCCAAACCACTCCGGGTATCATCCAAGGCTCCTGTGTAACAGCTGAACACCAAGCAGTCGATGAAACAAATTATCAAAAGAGGCGATATTTCTTTCGAAATTATTTTTCAGTTGATGACAGTGTTAACTTGAGCCCAAACTGTACCAATCATACAAATTAAGGCAGTTCAATATGAATATATTATCGTAAAACGTTGAAAAAGAGAAAGGCGGGACTTTTCACACACTTGTTGGTGTGAATCAAAACAGCATTTTTTGTGTGTTTGACAAATCATGTGATTTTAATCACTATGCAAGAAGTGCCGTTTGGATATATTACACAAGCAAAAAAATATTCTTCCTAATTGTATCACAGTGTGTGGTTTGTGTAACATTACCTTAAACTAGAAAGGCCGACATTTGCTTGAGAGCAAATGCAGCAGATGGCTTCACCACATCCCCCATACCGAAAATGGATCTATCCTACGATGGCTGCCAATAGTCTACACCCCCATGCAGCAATGGAACCTTCCAATGCCGGAAATAGCCCAAAAGCCCTATTCTACATAACTTTAAAGTGGTGTATGTCAAAATGGTATATGTGGTGTATGTCAAATTCTTTGGACATGTGTCCAAGGTATCCCCATACCAAATTTCAGGTAATTCGGATTTAATATTAGGGCACAGGAGCCAAAAATGTACATTTTTGGTCCGAAAATAGCCAAAAAGCCTTATTTTTTCCAATTTTAAAGTGGTATATGTCAAAAGCGTGAATGACATTCTTTGGACATGTGCCCAAGGTATCCCCATACCGAATTTCAGGTCATTCAGATTTAATATTAGGGCACAGGAGCCAAAAATGTACATTTTTGGTCCGAAAATAGCCAAAAAGCCCTATTTTACACAATTTTAAAATGGTATATGTCAAAAGCGTGAATGGCATTCTTTGGACATGTGTCCAAGGTATCCCCATACCGAATTTCAGGTCATTCAGATTTAATATTAGGGCACAGGAGCCAAAAATGTACATTTTTGGTCCGAAAATAGCCAAAAAGCC